TATTGTACGACCAGAAAGTATATTGTACGACCAGAAAAGTATATTGTACGACCAGAAAATTACATTGGGCTCATATAACAAAAAAAATTAAAAATTTGCAAAAAAAAATTTTTTTCTTTTTCTTTCGCATTTGTCTCACTCCACTCAAATCCACATCTATGCAATAATTAGCATTTTAATGAAATTTTTTCATTTGAAATTTTAAATGTAAAACATACGTAAGAAAATAACACATATATATATTATTTATTGCTTCATCTTGTTTTGTTCTTTTATGTTTGCCGTTCCACAATACGATTTTTCTAATATTTCACTTATCAGTCAGATATTGAATTACATTGCAAAATTTTTTTTTTTTTTCTTTACCTTTAAAGTCATTTATAACACATTTTGCAACAACTCTCCTATTGCTAATAAGTTCTTATTATCGGCAGAAGGTTAGAGACTCCTAGGAATATGAAGGAAGATAACGGCATGTTATCTTGATGTTGCCTTGGTCAATTCATTGCATTTCATCCCAATTGTACTTAGTTCTTAAGAAAGAAGGAAAGCGAAAAGTCAGTTCATTTTTTCAGAGAAAAATTAAATATACTTCGAAAAACAGGAAAATTAAAAATTCATTTCATTATTTAAATAACAATGGTGCCCGGATTTGAACAATTAAACCTAATTACATTTCTAGCTCATTTCGCAAAGTCGTAGATTTAAGGATTACATAGTTCGGAAGTGTTTCATCTTTACATGTCATCTCATTCAAAGTGTTTTTTATGTAATATGTATATAATATTCATATATATGCATATACATATTTATATACATTAGAATAAATTTGGACGTCAGGCTATCGGCGCTAATTTATATAAATGTACTTTAGATATTGAGCCTAGTAGTTTTAATAAAGTAATATATTGAACTGATATTCTGTTCTGAAGTTGTTTTTTGGAATGTCCAAATGCAATACTTCTAGCCAAGGACAAGTTAATGCAGTCGCAGAGAGTGTGCTTTATAGTGAGAATTTGTTCACAAGTACAGATTGGGAAGGAAGATTTCTTCAAGGTCCAAGGCGAATTCTTGAAAATGTTTGGATCTTGGTTTTCTCAACATTTGTTGGATATAAAGGTGGAGATAATTGAGGGTTAATGAAAGAGTAGAGTTGTTGATGGTATTGTACATTTTCTTCTGCAATTTTCTCTTTAACTTTTTTTCCAATGTCTCTTTGAAGATCCAACTTTTACATGGCATCATTCATAATTAGAAGTGCAGAAGCAGCATACTTCGCCGCTCGATCAGCCTGCTCATTTCCCAATAAACCGATATGACTTGGTACCCAAAGCATTTTAATTTTTTCGCCGAATGTTGTAATGAAACTCTCAGTAACAATGACGGTTTTGAGTTTGCTTTTAAGGGCAAGGCTCACAGCGTGAAGAATAGCTCTGGCTTCGCTTGTGAAAGTTGAAATACTTTCGTAAAATATGTGATTGAAAAGAACATGTCCTGAAGCATCTACCACGGCATAAGCAGGAGACAGACCAGAAGATTTTGAGCCGTCTATATATAAGAGATTCCAACCGTTGCTATCCAGTACTTGGGTTTTTCCACTTCTTAGATTCCTGAAGACGTAATTTGGGGTTCTTTCTTGTGCATAGGCAGCGAAATGTCAAAAGAGCAGTCTTTCAAAGTCCATGGAGGTTTAACACTAAAATAACGGAAAATTTTTAAGGGAATGTTCAATTCCTTTGCGACGTACAAACAATAGTCAATTGCAGATGGTGGCTTTTGAATTTTCTTCGCAATAATAATCTTTCTCACGTCGTCACCGAGAATAGATTTGTTTGATTAAGAAGTTTGGGAACTATTTTAGAGTTCAACTCATAAAGTCTATTTTCTAAAGTTGGGAGACTAGTTTCAATTATAATATTATTTATGCGCGAGAATGGAGTGTTTCATGATTCTGTTCGGAAATTACTTTGCTTGTAAAATAATCAATATGTAAAAGAGCATCGATGCACCCTCTACTTCGCTTAAAACCAACTTGTTGCTTTGTTATAAGGTTCTTGGACTCAAGAAACCAAGATAATCTAGATGCCATAACCTTTTCCAATACCTTTGAGAGGCAAGATAAAAGAGAGATTGGGCGATAATCCGATGCGATGGAGACATTTTTTGACTTTGGAATTGGAACAACTGCTGCCAATTTTCACATGTAAGGTATACGTCCAGTCAAAAATACCGTATTATATAGATCCAGTAATTTCTTTGTACTTGAATTAGTCAGAGCACTGATCATTTGGTATGAAATGCGGTCTAGACCAGTTGTCCTCCCAATTTTCCAGGGACATGGCATATCTATCAATATCATTTGAAAGAGAAATTGGAGTCCTTTTATTTTCGATGAAAGCACTGGAGAATTTGCTGTCAGAGTATTCGCACAACACTTTTCCAAAGTAATTAGAAATCTCATCTGCGTCAGTGCAGATGGCAGAGATTTCGTTTAGATTTGAAGTTTCATTAAGTCTGTTGATTTTGTTCAAGACAACTTTTATTAATGTATTTCTGTGAAGGTTTTTCGAAAAAGATTCGAAACTAAGTGCCTTTGATTTCGTAATTGTTTCCTGAATAAAGCATTGGGCGTTTTGTGTAGTAACAAATGATCATGATCAGGACATCTCTTAAAGCGGTGCCAGAGATTCATTTTATTTTTTCTTAAAAACGAAAGCGTGTTGTTCCACCACGAAAGCCTAGCTCGTTTGATAAAGCTGAGATGAGCAGGCGTCCGAATCGCTTTAGACATAATAGCAGCATCGTGGTTGTAGTTCCCGTTAAATGGCTTTGAATTCAGAAATGACTCTGCGTGTTTGGCGTAATTATTTTGCTGGAGTAACAGAGGACTTTGAAAGGTTAAGAGCGATTATGATTGGAAAGTGATGAAACCAAAAGAAGAAGTGAGGGAGACCAACAAGTTAAATCAATATGTGAAGAGCTGTGATGAGTTGAAAAGTGCGTTGGTTTTCCATCATTTAAAATGCAGAAATTGCTTTGAATGAAGGTCTTTTCTAAAACAGTACGACGAGTGTTGTTCACTGTTGAGCCCCAGATGGTATTCCAGCTGTTATAATTAAAGTCGCCGCATATAATTAATGGGGGGGAATGTACGGAGAATAAATTGTAGAGTTCTTGCTGAGAAAACGATTGCGAAGGTGGGATATAGAGCGAAAGCACTTTAAAATTTTACTTTTAAAAAACTTTGTATCGCTACAACTTTTATGTTTGAGCCTAAATTTATGCGTTTGTGAGATATACTTGATTTTATAAAATATAAATTTTGATCACGATTCGTGAAGTATCCAGTATATAATTTGGGTGAAATAGCTTCTACAATGTGTCTCTTGAAGCCGTATAAAGGTTGGATTAAAATCACTTATGAGTGTACGGAGTTCATCAAAATTATTAATAAGTCCCATAATGTTCCAATGCAAAATTTTAAAAACTTTATTTAATTATAGTGACATGTAAACGGTAGGTGGTAGGTGGTTTAACTTGCCATGTCAGCGTCTCCGTCGGGAAGGTCGCTATAGGAATTTTGCAAGAATACTTTGTTCTTACCAGCAGAATAATCTGCACTTAGGCGGTTGCGTACATTTGAAGTGCAACGAGTGGGCGCACGTGAATAATTTGAAATTGAAGGTTGATTAAGGGATAAAAGATTGGATTCATTACAACTTGTAATTTGTTGAGTAAAGTTGAGAGCTGGAGATTCTGGGTAATTTAGTTTATTAGATTTTAGGATACGTGTTGTTGTTTTAATTTTTTCAATATTTGGCGTTGCTTTGGTTTTTTCAATATTATCTTTGGCGGGTGATGGAACTGGTTTCGCGGTACAATTTTTGGCTGATGGTAGAACAGGTTCTTCATTGGAAGGAGTTGCAGTTAAAGGCTCATTAGGCTCGATTAGCAAGTCAACAGCAGCGTAGGTATTACTTTTGCCAATTCCTTGGGCTGCAGATGGATTTAATTCCCAGTATTTGCATCGTGCTTTGCCCATGCTACAGTAATTTTCTATTTTGATTTTTAGAATTTCACGCATCTGTACAAAACGTGGGCATTATTTGTCTAACGCCGAGTGTTGATCATTGCAATTTCTGCAGAAACTACGCTTACCACAGTTAGCACAAGATGGAACACTGGTGCACCTTTTTGCCGTATGACCCAGGCATTGCCAATTTTTGCATCTGAGGGGATTTGCAATGAAGAGTTCTACTTTACATTTATACCACGCAACATTAACATTAACTGTTCGCGGTAATCGCTGGCGAACAAAGGTTAAAATAATCCTTCGTGTAGGAGAGCGAGTTTTTCCGTCGTCATTTAGTTTGG